GAATTATTTTTGATTGGTTCAGAGTGGAAGCCAATTGAGTGTCAGTGAAGGGTAAATTCCAAAACTTATGCCGAATTGTTTTTGATTAGTTCAGAACTGAAGTCGATTGAGTGTCAGTAAAGGTAAATTCCAATCTTCTACTGAACTGTTTTTGAGTGGAAGCCAATTGAGTGTCAGTGAAGGGTAAATTCCATTCTGAACTGTTTTTAACTGAAAGCTAAAGTTTCTGATTGGTTCAAGCAAATGGAAAGTAGGAAACCATTTAGGTGCCATTTCACGTCAGCTATACAAAATACACTCTATTCCATTCATTATTCTGCACACATTATTCAAAGAACCACTAATTATTAACATGTATATTAATACAGTCTTACAATCAACTACATGAGATATTTTCATAATTATTTTCTACAATTTTCTATTCATAAAATCTAAATTTACTTCACTGTGTTGTAGTTTATATTATCAAAAATAATTTTAGGAAATGTTATGTTTATTAGTTATGCTGTGATAACTGTAGCTTAGAGCAAATCTCATATGGCTGTAAAAAAAATTTACAATATAGATGCACTGTGTTATAAATCTGGTTTCTACACCTCTTCAAATTCAATTTTATCAATACCCTAAGACAGAATCTGGGCTGATCAGGGCAAGGCATAGCTCAAAGAATAAGCTGCAACTTGTAAACTTGTTAGGTTTTGYGGAGGGAAGGATACTGGAAACCTGGCTTGAAAAAACCTTAATTTAAGCGAGAGACTTACAGTGTGACTAGAAAAATTTGTCGAGGTGGCTTTGGTTGGAGTAGTCGCACTGTAACAAAGCATAATACCAAGTGATGTAGAGTTCAGAAATCAAAACCAAGACTCCAGAGGTTAGAGACAAGTGTACTACCCCACCAACTAGTAATCACGGCATATCCATACTGTAAATTTTTCACATCTGCATGAAATTTGCTGTTTTACTAACTGAACGTGTTGTTACAGCCATTGAAAGCCATACGATACATTATCTTTGATATTAAAGTCACAATGAAATTAAGAGACATTCTTACCATGTCTGACCAAATTCTACAATCTCCTGCAAAAATCTCCATATTTTCAATAAAAAGACAAAGAGAATATAGAACTTGATCATTCTTATTACTAACCATCGAAGTAAACTCTTAAAGACCTCTTGCAGTATGTCATAATGCAGCTCAATTTGGAGGCAAAACAATGGATTTCCAATTCTCATGAGAATGAAATTCTTTTGTTTTGTCCTCCAAGTTGAGCAGCTTTGACGTCACATGCGAGGTAATACTGGCAAATGAATTACAATAGATACTTTTTCTATGTAGTGAACTAGCGTCATGCATCATGCGGCCTTGGTTCATTAATCGGCATACCTATAAGGATTTCATCTAACAGTTGTAAAGCTCGATGAAGATGGATCTCAATCCAACATGGCGTTTCTTTAATGCTTTTTCGTGGATAATCCGGACCCCATCCCTTAACAAAACTAAGTCGTAAAATACATAACCGCCGTAAGTCATCTACCCCAACACTTACTTGTCCCATTTGAGGAAGCAAAGCTCCTGGGCCTACACCGCTGACTACTGCAGCCGCCTGTGCAGCAGCAGCAGCCTGTGCTGAGTGTGCTTGCTGTTTCATCTGTCGATAACACTGACGCAGATCAAATACTTTTATATAAGCACTAGGGTAGATCTTGTGGACTGCATCACCAGGGCAACGGCCTGCTTCCCGATCGAGATAATAGCTTTGTACGAATACACTGTGTTCACTGAGGCAGCGTACCCAGACATCACCTTCACCTCGTAAATCAAGCTGAACTCCTTTACCTACAAAAACATATTACATCATTATGAATTATCAATGAAGGAAGAATACTGGAATGGAATGAAGAATGGTAGCATGGATGGAAGAATAGATGGATGGATGGATGGATGGATGGAATAATGGATCGAAAAATGGATCGAAAAATGGATCAAAAAATGGATGGATGGATGGATGGATAGATGGATGGATGGAAGAATGGATGGAAGAATAAATGGATGGATGGGTAGATGGAAGGGTGCGTTGATGGATGAATAGATTGATGATAGATG